TTTTTTTTTTTTTTTTTTTTTTTTAATTTTTTAATTTTTTTTTTGTCTTTTGTCTTTTTTCCGTGTCCGGCAACGGGATCGCAACCCTCGGTGTTGCTCCCACGCCTCGCTCAGCCAGTGAGCGGGAACCGGTCTGTATGTGGGATCCGAACCCTCGGGCGGGAGCGCCGCCGCGCTTCCCAAGCGGCGCACTATCCAGTGCGCCACCGGGCCGGCCCCACTTTTCTGTTTTAAAGACAGTTATTGAAATAAAATTTCTAGGAGGTTAAGCCAAGTCTGATCTAAATTTTTGCCATCTTATATATTCACCACTCCTTGCTTTTGTGCATGTGCCTGTGTGTGTATGCACGCTTTCAGCCTGGAGATTTTTTTTTTTTTTTAATTTTTTAATTTTTTTTCCTTTTTGTCTTTTTTCGTGTCCGGCAACGGGATCGCAACCCTCGGTGTTGCTCCCACGCCTCGCTCAGCCAGTGAGCGGGAACCAGTCTGTATGTGGGATCCGAACCCTCGGCGGGAGCGCCACCGCACTCCCAAGCGGCGCACTGTAGCAGTGCGCCACCGGGCCGGCCCAGCCTGGAGATTTTAAATATTATTTATTCACTTTTTTTCCTGCTTAGAACCATTTGTTTTTACTAGCTTCTTTTCAGGTATTTAATTTAAATAGTTGGTAGGATATCTAAAGGGAACATCTCATAATTATTTGATCATGACTTTACTCATTTAGGCCAGTTTAACATTCTTATAAAATTATTGGTCATTACTGTGAACTATTTATTAATTTTGGCCAATGGAAACATTTCCTTGCACTCTCTCCATTCTTCTCCATCTATAAATTTTCAACTTTTGTATTGATCCATGCCTGATGCAGAGAGAAAAGATGCTCTTTGAGGATTGCAGTCTAAAAGCATCAGGGTTTTTGTTTTGTTTTGATTTTTCTTTTTTTTTTTTTTTTCCTATGTCAAATTTAAGCCTTGGTAATGTAATTTTTTTTTTATTGAAACATAGTTGACTGTATGTATCTGTGAGGTACAGTGTTGAATATCAATACGTGTGTGTACTATGTGATGCTCAAATCAGGATAATTAGTATATTCAACATTATACATTGTAATTGTCTTTTGTGGCCCTTTACCAGTTCTTCCTTTAACCCTCCCACCCCCTTTCCCTCCTCTGGTAACCTCAGTTCTGTTCTTTCCTTTTGAAAGCTCGGCATTTTATTATTGTATTTTCCTTTCATTTATTTATTTATTTTTAGCTCCCACTTACAAGTGAGAATGTGTGGTATTTCTCTTTCTGTGCCTGGCTTATTTCATTAAATGTGATTTTCTCTAAGTTCATCCATGTTGCTGCAAATGGCAGTATTTCATTCTTTTTTATGGCAGAGTATTATTCCATTGTGTAAATATACCACATTTTCTAGTCATCTGACGATGGACATTTAAGGTTGGTTCCAACTCTTAGCTACTGTAAATAGAGCTACAATAAACATGAGAGTGCAGGTATCCCTTCGACGTGATGATTTCCATTCCTTTGGGTCATACCCAGCAGTGGAATTGCAGGATCGTATGGCAGTTCTATCTGTAGTTGTTTGAGGAACTTCCATACTGTGTTCCACAATTGTTGCACCAATTTATAGTCCCACCAACAGTGTAGGAGGGTTCCCCTTTGTCCACATCCTCACCAGCATTCATTATTCTTTTTGGTAATAGCCAGTCTAACTGGGGTGAGATGATATCTCAGAGAGAGAGAGAGAGAGAGAGAGAGAGAGAGAGAGTGTGAGAGTGTGTGTGTGTGTTAAACAAGCTCAGTTAATTAACTTTATTTTTCCTTGTATAAAACCCTGTGTTGTAGCTATGGCTGGAGCCTGGGTCTTCTGCACAGACACTCTGGTGTGGGTCTTTATAAGATGGTCAGTGAATTCCTGATAGGGAGACTTTGGTTATTATATCATAATATCCATGGAGTATAGGAATGGGATAAAGAATGATAGCAGGTGGAGTTTTCTTGCCTATTTCCTCTTTTCTTTATCCCTTTATACTACCTGATCTACTACTTTGTATAGCCTGTGTTTGTGTGCTGATCCTAAATCACGCATAATATGTGTATGTATTTATGTTTTCCTTTAGCCTGGAAGAATATGTGCCCAGCTGTTAACCTTGATTATTTCTGGGGGTTGATAAGATTGAGGAGGGTTATTCTTTCTACATTGTTATTTCTACTTCATAGTCATTATTAAAAAGAAATGGCATAAGCTTTCCTTTTGCAGGGAAAAGATAGTACTTCAGTGGAACTCCTGGTTTCTTATCAAGAGAAACAAACTTCCAAAGATTAGAGTCCCTTTCAACTCTGTGGTTCTGTGAGCTAACTATATAAAACTTAAGGAAACTTAAAATAGGTTGGAACTCTTCTAGACTGGGCCAGACTGAAAAAGAGAGCAAGTACTTCTTTCTGCTTAAAAACTTAATAAAAAAAAAAAAAGGTCTGGAAACCTGTTGCTTTCTAGTTGATCCTAATTTATGTCTTTAAAGAAGATGGAAATGGTTAATATTGTTCTGTTAACAAAGGGTGAGCAGTTATTTACAAGTCAGGTAATGGAGGATCAATTACATATGTCAACAAAAAGAGTTTTTGACAAAAAATTATCTTGTTTCTTCCTTTTGTTTTCCAAACAGTTGAAAATCTTCTAACTTCCTGAAATTCTTTAATGCAATTTCTAGTAGTAGTTTACCAGCACAATTTTTGCATGTACTTCCAAAACTTGACTTAGCAGATCGTGTTCTAAATTTTCATTTATTTAATTTCTGTAAAGTTATGTTTTTAAATCTGCTCACAAAATTCTGTAATACATGGTATAACTGTAATCAAGCTGAGCTGTAGAATAAAATTATAAAATTTGATCTTTAACAGGAAAAAGACCATCAGGTATATAATTACTTTCTGTTATTACCCCCCCACCCCCCACCCCAACACCAGTCCCCAGCAGTATTATGGTAGGGCTTTTTTTATTCCAATGGCTTGACAATCCCACAGTGTCACCACTGACCCAGTTCTGGATATAGGAGGAAAGGAAGGAAGAGTGGGCATACTGTTATGGGGGGGTGGGCACAGAGGAGTACATTATGATACCTGGAGCTGGGATAATGGTACTTTGGGTACCTTAAGGTGGCTTCCATTGGAGTATGGACAGGTTTTTCTTGGTACCATCACAGCAACTGCTCTTTGCATATATGGGTTATTTATAAGTGTTTGAATAGAATATTGCCTGAGGAAAATCAGTGAAAGAGGTGTTATAAGTCTAGGCTACTCAAGAAGTTTACAGCCAATTTTCTTTTTTTTCTTTTTTTTTTTTTTGTCTTTTGTCTTTTTCCGTGTCCGGCAACGGATCGCAACCCTCAGTGTTGCCCCCGTACCGGACCGGGGACCGGCAACGGGATCGCAACCCTCGGTGCTGCTCCCGCGCCTCGCTCAGCCAGTGAGCGGGAACCGGTCTGTATGTGGGATCCGAACCCTCGGGCGGGAGCGCCGCCGCGCTTCCCAAGCGGCGCACTTATCCAGTGCGCCACCGGGCCGGCCCTTACAGCCAATTTTCTGAATGATGTACCTGTGTATATAGAGTATAAATGGCTAAAAGTTAAACTTGGGGAAGCATATTTCTTGGCTAGTTAAGAAGGAAAGATGGGTAGTTTGTATACTTCCAGAAAAGCAGGCATATTGAGGTGTATTATAGGCAGAGGGGAGAAGTAGCAGAAGAAGTAGGATTTCCATTCCATACTTTGCCGTATTTTCACATCTAAGCTCTTAGACTGTTTTTTCTTTTTCACAAAGAATTTTCTCTAATTCTGATTTTGTTGCTTCTTCCTATAATCTTACTCTCGAAGCTGAATGCTGTCATTGGAAGTCAGAAAATTGAAGCTTTTTTTTTTAAACTTGAATGCTTATAAAGAATAATATTCATGTCTTAAAAAATAAGTATGATATTTACCAGCTTATTTTTCTGTTTTTCCTTCCTAGAAAGTACACAGATGATAAATGAGTTTAACATTCTCGTGGTTCACCTGATATAAATTTAAGCATCTTAAATTAGTAGACATTGCTGGATTGCCCCTTAACTATGGAAATCAGACTCTGGGTGATGGTTAGGAATTACGAATTTGTTTCAAACAAATATGTAAAACCTTAAGTTACATAAATGGCAGAAGTTCTAGGAAACACCTTGTAACTGTTTCTTCATGGAGGCTTATTCAGTATTTCTTGCAGTATCTCTCCAATTTATGTTCACAAATAGTTGGAGTTTCCCACTAAAAAGAATACAAAGCTTTCTACCAAAGAAGTCTATCTATTAGTAAATTTGTAGCTCTCGAGTAATTGAGTAAAATTGGGAGTCCAACAAAATATGTTCACCTTGCGGTTTTGCATATTGTGTCCCTGATATTTCTAGTACACATACCTAAGTTGGACAGAAATGAATGTCAAAAGTGTCAAGCACAGTAAGTGATTCATACTAACTGCTCAGTATGTTTCCTTTTTAAAAAAACTTAATTTTTTTTACATTAAATAGATGATGCTTTTGGAATAAAATCAAATGAATTTACTGAACAAAGAACCATTGGGTAGGAAATATTATGATTATTAAAAAATAAATTTACTAGAATTTGCAATCAAAGCTTACTGTTATGTCTGCTGTGCAATATGATTTAAGAGGTATAACTTCAGTATCATATAGGTACATGCCTTGCTTTAGTTCAAGCTCTTTGTCTAGTCTTAGTGGATTTTAACATTCAAAACCACTACTCTGAAGTATCTTATCCATATTTTTCTCCCTTTCTCAACTTTTACTCACTAAACACTTGTGCAAGAGCTAAATACCCTCTTTAGGTTTTACTTTTTTATCTTTAAAATGAGAAAATTGAATTAGAGTGTTGTCTGCACATGGGAGGTGCTAAAAACAGTTGATTGCATATTCCATCTCAACGTATGATCCACTTACCATTGAAGAAGGACTAAAAGCCTTCCAGAATATATGTAAATATAATCTTACATGATTCTTCACCACATTGTGGAATCTTTGGCAGTCCCCTTATTGTCTCATTTTGAAAAGAGTTTATTCTTTCTTCTTGAATTTGTTTGGGTTTTTGAATACTATGTACCCAACCTCAGGAATACTTAGCCCATTAATGATGGTTCCTCTTCATTCCTCTTTCTTCTCTTTGGTTCCTTGTTTGCTCTAGTGAACAGCATTCCTCAAAAAGATCTGTTAACACTAATGACACAAATGACACAAATAATTTTGTCCATTTTTGTGCCTTATCATTTACAAGCACAGTGTGTTCTGAAGTATTCTTAAGTTCCTGACAATTAACTTTGGATGAACCTTGAGTAGTATAGAATGTGTTCTTCAGAAATTATAGAACCACTGTAGTTTGAAATCTGTGTTCATAGTTGTCATGTTAATATTAGAATAAATGATACTTAAAAGAAATAGGTATTCTTTAGCTTAAATTGAAATGAAGTAATTAGCAGTTTTCTCCTTTCCCTAAAAAATAGTGTATTTAAATAGCAGTTAATAACTCAGTTATTTTAAATTCAAGCTTATGGGTTGTTTAGTTATAATAAAGTTGATATTTTAAAAAGCAGATTAGTATTGCTATAAATGCATGTTTATGTATTTGTTGTGAACATATTTATGATTGTGTTTTAAAACAGGTATGACCACATTCTGAAGTGGGAACTCTTCCAGCTGGCTGACCTGGATACATACCAGGGAATGCTAAAGTTACTCTTCATGAAAGAACTGGAACAGATTGTTAAAATGTATGAAGCCTATAGGCAGGCTCTCCTCACAGAGTTAGAAAACCGCAAGCAGAGACAGCAGTGGTATGCCCAACAACATGGCAAGAATTTTTAAGTTAATTTTTTTTAAATTAAGTTTTATAAGAGCTTTAAAATATTTTCACTGATAAAAAATTGCAAATAAGTACTTTGGTTAATAATGGCAGCTTACTTTTTGGAAATTATAAAATTCTAAATTACATGTATTTTTTTTATTAAAAACTTCCTTTTATGGAACAAACAAAATGAATTTGTTAACACTTCCAAATGAGGTATATTAGGAACTGCTTTGCGTGTTCTTGATGAAGAAAAATGCAACAAGAAATGTTATTATAGGCAGATATTAAATAGGAAATGATCATTTTTTTACTTCTTACAGCAGCAGTACCTTTCTTTTTTGAAAAGAAAAAAATCTATGCAGTATTTTTAAAAAGATGTTTACTGCTTTAGTGTGGAATATTGTCTAGAATAGGATGGTTTAAATATTACCATGGTGTAGTTCAAAATATAAAATAGGATTTAGAACCTTAATTGTGATAAATTTCTATATATGATGTATATAGTTGTTATACCCCCACCACCAAAATGTGAGGAACCTTTTAAAAGTGTGTTGAGAAAATATTTTGGGGTATGAAAGTATGAAGGGCCTTTATATCTTTCAGGAATAAATCTAATCATAGAGACTTAGCCTCTGTGGAGGAGGTGTGTATAGCACTCAAAGTTGTTACCGTCACTTCCTTACTTTCAGCCAGGGCTCCTAATGCATTGATAGCATGGCTCTGATGAGAAAGGGACAGGCCCAAGCCAAGGGTTAAGATCCCCTTACCGGTCATCTTTTAAAAAAAAAAAGAAAGGGGGAGGGTTCCTGACAGCATAGCACTCTGCCTTCTGACAGACTGGGTAAGCTGCCAAAATTGGCAATCAGGGATTCAATAAGAAATTTTGGTCATTAAATCGATTTTATATTGCTTTTTTATCCTCTAAGCATTTGTCACAGAACTTTAAAAACATTTATTTCCCTCTCAATTATTTTTCTCTTTTGATTTTTTAGTTGTTAAGATGTTGTTCATAATTAGTGCAGTATGTTTCAGACAAATTTATGATACTTCCAGTCTGTAAAGCTCTAGAATTCTGTGAATTTCAACATTAGTTGAAGTAAATGTAAATATGAAATACGTGTAAATATATTTTGAGTTTAGGTGGTCTTCCAGAGTACAGAGCACTCGCAGTTAAATATCCTGAGTTTGAGTTATTGATAAAGTGTTGAAAATGTTAAAGTGTTTCATTTTATATAACAAGCTTATTAAATATATTTTTGTGAAAACTAAATGTGTGGTTTTTGAGTCCATGTTTTAGACATAGTGCTATAAATACTTGATTTTTCTGTTCAGAAGGCCCATCAGCAAAGGAAGCAATATAATGAAAGGGGTATTGAAAAATGAAAGTATAGCTAGTGAAATTTTTCATTGGGAAAGATAATTTGCTGAACTTGTGATCAAACTTTTCAAAGATGTAAGTTTATATCTCTTATGAACTTGCACATATTCTTTTTATCTTAAGATAATTAAGACAGTTCTTATTTGTTTTGGACCTCCCAGATAAGAGGCAGCATTACTTCTCTTTTTTCATTACTACACCTTTTTTTTTTCCTCTAAAAGTCTGCTCAGTGAAACTCCACTGGAGATTTTAGTAATTTGTTATGGTGTCAACAATTAAAGAAAATGCATTTTGAATTAAAAAAAGACATAAACCTTCATTATTCTGTATCAGACTTCCCAAACATTTTCAAATTCAGTAAGCATTTGTTTTTAATCTTATGAACCAGAGTAAACTTTAATAATAGTTCACATGTTAAAAGAATAAACCTATGAGGAATACATTTCTTTGTGTACTAAATGAAAAAATATACAATGCAGTGAAACTCAAATACATATACAGTAAAGTGATTTTTGTGCATTTTTGATCAAGAGGTTTATATTCTATATTAAATCATAATATAAAAGAAGCAGTATATAGTTTTTGGTAAAGCAGTTGAAAAGCAGTGTATTAAAAAATAACTAAGAGATCATGATATATGTAAGATGATATAGATTAAATCAAGCCTGCTGAGTTGTGATGCTATGCTTTAATAAATGGCTATGTGAAGAACTCAAAATATTTTTTGTAGAAATTAAATGAGCGTACCCAAACATGGAGTAATATCACTACATGGTTTAATTATAACCCAGTAGTAGAATTTAATAACTTCAAGCAGAACACATGTACTGTCATCATAAATAGACAAATACCTTAAATTAACAGCATATTTGAGGACTAAATCAGAAAACTGTACGTGTCAACAAAATGATATAACCATGCATACATACATCTGCTTATTAAACACTGGAGTAAAAGAACTAAACCATTTTGCAGTCCTCAGAGGTGTTTGATATCTGTTCTGATGGAAGCATTTTGAATGTTTGCATGGAGACATAAAACTGAATATTTAACTGACAATTGGCCATGCACCTTTATTTTTAAAAATTTGGATTAAATTTTCTTTTTTTCTGATTGTTCAGTAGATTCCGACTTTGGTGCAGGAAAAGCTTGGTGATACAGATGTCTGTGGGTTGCTGCTGCACTGTAAAGCTTGTACAAAGCCTACAATACAAGAATCAAGATTATAAAACATTATAAATAGGTGTAAATTTTTTCCTTTTTAGGTTTTTTTGCTGAATTTGAAATCTTTATATCATTATATAAGATATGAATTAATAACTAATATCTTAAAACTCAGAAGTATTTTCAGTTCTCCAGTGTGTGTGTTATCATTTTTGTGGACCTTCGTGGTAGATGTTTTATTCTCAGATTGCATTTCCTTTTAGCTTGCATACCTCTTGGAGCACAACTTCCCAACCATTATGTCTTAGGGGTGTGCTGAGAACTAACTGTGAATATTATCAATTTTAGATGAATTATAAGAGCTCATAACTTTTGACTGCCAGTAACTACTTTATTATATGTAGATAGTTCACTTGCTTTCTGGGCTTTCAATATGATTTCCAGAATGGGACCTATTTTATTTTCTATCATTTCCCAATAGGGCCCCTCCCCCATCACACTGGGATCCTTCACTTGTTTCCATTACTTAGTTCATATCTGACAAAACTTTATTCAGAAACATTCCCTCAGAAAGCCTACCTGCATTAAAATTACCTCTGCTATTCTTTGTGTCTTTTTAACAGTGCTGGAATCAGGAATTTTTGCATATTGCATATTGCTTTATTGAAGTGTCCATAGGTATTGTTATGTTTCTCCCAACTCAGCTAGTGACTAAAATTCATTCCCCCCTCTGACTTTCACATACTGAACATTCATTTACAACTTTCCTGATTTAGTTCTGGAATCTGTGAAGAGTCTGAATATTTTTAAAAACTGGATAAAAGCTTGAGATCTTTTAAATAGCAATCTATTCCCAGGAAATTCCATTAATTTTTATCATTCATCAGTCCGTTAGCTACTTTTTTTTATTTTCTAAAGGCATTAAGTCTGAGTGGTACCATCTTCAGTTCTATGAATGCATATTGGTGTAACATGATGTTGTCTTAGTTCTGTTATATTCTGATTCTTATGCATTCAATTTAATCTCAATTCTCTTAAAAGCTTACATTTTTTCTTAAGGTTTGATTTACAAAGTTAAAATTTGCTTTTGCTTTTTTAGTGAATTTCTTTTACTGAATTTTACATAGATAGCTCCTTATTGACTTATAAATATTGTGTCTCAATGGTATTTGATTAGAGGACATAATCTAGTTATATGCTACAGTAAAAATTGAGTAAAGAATTGTGCGCTCTCTGTAGTTATTCAAGATCAGCTTTGCTTCCTGAAGATAATGACCAAAATGACTCCACCGAAAAATTTTCTTTAGTGTAACAAATGATTCTTTTGTGGAAGTTCACATTCTTTCTTTAGATATATAATTTTGCACATGTGCAGTAGGAGAAATGAACACTTACAAGTCAGGTCTGAGGTATGCCAAGAAAGTTAAAATGCATACTGCCCTGGAACCTGCTCAAAGTGGTAGTATGGGTAACTGTCACTCAAAAATCAAAGTTAAAAACAACTTCTGAAGATTGTGGCTGAGTTTAAATACACTACAATGGTTAAATGTCTGCAAGCTTCGTAATTGCACTTGCTTTACTCTGCAGTAGAGCAGAATGCACCATGTCAGAGCTGAAGAATTTTGAAAACTTCTACACATTGAGGATACAAATCAAATATTCATGATAATTCAACTCTTATGTTTTAAAACCATGTTACAAATTTACAATTAAAAATTTAAATCTTAGAAGACCATTAGTCACTAAAGAACTAATCTATATTAAGATATCTTTTAATGGGTAGTCACTTTACAAAATAATATCATAATTTTACAAATATATAGCTCTTAATTAAAAAAAGTTTTTTTTAACTTACCTCATTTGTACTTCCCTGTGGCAAAGGCAGTTTAAAAAGGAGAAAAGAAAAGTATATATCCCACTTCGATAATAGCATTATGATATTCAACTTTGTTTACGATATTAATGGTATTCTCAATGGCAAGAACAAATACTCCTACAGATTTTTCAGTTTAGGTTACATATTTTATCAGAATCATTTCAAGAACCCAATTCTGTATTCCTCATAGGTTTCAGTATCATATTCTATTAGGGTTTTGAAATTTATCTCAAACCTTTTGTCTTCAACCTTTCGTGGTTGAGGGACTATATGAGATAGTGAGTGGCTCAGAGCATCCAGTTTTTACCTCAGTCATTTCCCATTGCGCTATTAGTTTATCTCAGCTAGAATCTTCGAAGGCACACATTAAATCCATTGGTTACAATTCTCTTATAAGGAGTATAACATATAAGTATGCTCTTAATGCTGGGAGAATTGTAGCTATTACTTGCCACCTGCAGACCATAAACTTTCAAGTCTTCAAAATTTTATGAAGAGTCTCAGATTTAGCTTCACTAAATTCCCCTAAGTTATCATGAGGTAACTGAAGACACTTCCAAAATGACATACCGAATTGATTATTGTTCTAGGTGTATTTATAATTGTCTCCCCTGTCCATAATAATTTGGACAATGGCCTTGACTCTCTAGCACATGACTGATTGGACCATTAAGGATAACTGACTCATGAGCAATACAAGGGTACTTCAAAAAGTTTTTGGAAAAATAAA